TGCCTCGATGCGCACCCGGGATCCGAACCCGGGCCACCAGCATCGCAGCGCGCGCACTTAACCACCAAGCCACAGGGCCGGCCCAAGAGACTTACTTTAGATACAAAGACGCACACATGAAAGTGAAAAGATGGAAAAAGATATCCCATGCAAATAGTAACCAAAGGGGAGCAAGAGTGTCTATACTAATATCAGAATTTAAATCAAAAAAGACTTTAAGTCAAAAAAGGTTAAGGAGACAAAGAAGGAAATTACATATTAATAAAATGTTCAATACAGAAAAAAGATATAACAATTAAAAATATTTATACACCTAATGATAGACCATCAAAATATATGAAGCAAAAACTGACAGAATTGAAGGAGAAATAGACAGTATAGTTGGAGACTTCAATATCCTACACTCACAGTAATGAATAGAACAACCAGACAGAAGATAAGGAAATAGAGGACTTTTTTAAAAACACTACTGGATCTAACAGACATATATACAGGACATTCTACCCAACAACAACAGAATACACATTCTTCTCAAGTGCACATGGGACATTTTCCAGCTTAGATCACATGTTAGGCCACAAATTAAGTCTCAATAGATTTAAAAAGATAGATATCATACAAAGTGTCTTCTCCAACCACAATGGGATGAAGTTACAAACCAACAACAGAAGTAAAACTGGAAAATTCACAAATTTGTGGAAATTAAACAACACGCTCTTAAAGACCCAATGGATCAAAGGAGAAATCACAAGGGAAATTAGAAAATACTTAGAGATGAATGAAAATGAAAACACAACATACCAAAACCTACAGGATGCAGCAAAAGTGGTGCTAAGGGGGAAATTTATAGCTATAAATGCCTACATTAAAAAACAAGAAAGATCTCAAATCAACAACCTAACTTAAGGAACTAGAAGAAGAACTGACTAAACTCAAAGCTAGCAGTAGGAAGGAAATAATAAAGATTAGAGTAGAGAAAAATGAAATAGAGAATAGAAAAACAATAGAGAAAAATCAGTGAAACCAAAAGTTGGTTCTTCAAAAAGATCCACAAAATTGACAAATCTTTAGCAAAACTGACCAATAAAAAAGAGAGAAAACTCAAATTATTAAAATCGGAAACGAAAGTGTGGACATTACTATTGACTCTACAGAAATAAAAAGGATTATAATAGAGTTCTATGAACAACTGTACATCAACAAATTGGATAACCTAGAGGAAATGGACGAATTCCCAGAAACACGAAACCTACTAAGACTAAATAATGAAGAAATAGAAAATCTGAGTAGACCTGGTAAGGAGATTGAATCACTAATCAAAAATCTCCCAACAAAGAAAAGTCCTGGACCTGACGATTTCACTAGTAAATTCCACCAAACATTTAAAGAAAAACTAGTACCAATTCTTCTCAAATTTTTCCAAAAAATTGAAGAGGAGAGATCACTTTCTAACTCATTCTATTAGCTATTGTGAATAATGCTGCTATGAACATGGGAGTACAAATATCTCTTTGAGACCTTGTTTTCAATTCTTTTGGGTATATACCCCAAAGTGGAATTGCTAGGTCATATGGCAATTCTATTTTCTACTTTTTTGAAGAACCTCCATACTGTGTTCCACAGTGGCTGTACCATTTTACATTCCCATGAACAGTGCACAAGTGTTCCAATTTCTCCACATCCTTGCCAAGACTTGTTGCTTTCTGGGTTTGATGTTTTGTTTCCTTTGTTTTGTTTTGTTTTGTTTTGTTTTGTTTTGTTTTGATAGTAGCCATCCCGAGGGGTGTGAGAAATGAAAACTTATGTTCACACAAAAACCTGTACATAAATGTTTATAGCAGCTTTATTCATAACAACCAAAACCTAGATAGCAGTAACCCAGATTTTTTTTTTAATTCCTTTGCCATTTATTTATTTTCCCCCAAAGCCCCAGTAGATAGTCGTATGTCATAGCTGCACATCCTTCTAGTTGCTGTATGTGGGACGCAGCCTCAGCATGGCCGGAGAAGCGGTGCGTCGGTGCGCGCCCGGGATCCGAACCCGGGCCGCCAGCAGCGGAGCGCGCGCACTTAACCGCTAAGCCACGGGGCGGGCCCCCCAGATATCCTTCAACTGCTGAATAGTTAAACATATGGTAGTACATCTATACCGTGAAATACTACTCAACAATAAAAAGAAACAAATTATTGATACACGCAATAACCTCAATGAATCTCAAGAGAATTATGCTGAGTGAAAAAAGC